AGTAGTAGTAGTAGTAGTAGTAGTAGTAGTAGTAGTAGTAGTAGTAGGAGTAGGAGTAGTAGTAGCATTGGCCAGTCAGCTAAGCCTCTGTAAAACTTCTACTTATAACCTCTACCACATCCCAGAGACAAAACTGCAGCCCTGTTGTTGTTTTTTGGAACCCCCCCTTGAAATATGTTGCCTCTACCCCCTCCTAGAAACAAAGACTGCAGCTCCGTTGTTGTTTTTTGCGCCGCCCCCCTCCAGAGCAACACCTCAAAAACACTAAAGATGGACCAGCCCAGACTTCAGTGAAACAAGTCCAACAAGTCCACCTACTTACGAAACGAACATTCGCTCGAACCTTCAACCCTATCCCTTACCTTGTCCCCTTGAAGTTCCAAAGTTACAACGTGTGACAATTATGTTGGGCGGCCGTTTTTGTTTCTACCAACAACAACAACAACAACAACGACCAGCAGCAGCAGCAACAACAACAGCAACAACAACAGCAACAACAACAATCTTTGCGCTGTCCTCCGCAGAGAGTTCCCCACTGGAACTGGAAAAATTGTAGATGTGATTCTACGTGATCAACACAATCCTGTGCACTGGCGTTGGAACTGGAAGTGGATCTGGAACTGGATTTGAAATTCCCCGCGCCCCCACCCGGCGAAAATGGAATCACAACTAGAACTGGCACCAGATCTGGAACTGGATCTAGAACTGAATCTGGAACTCTCCCTCCACTGGAATTACTTTACTTCCAATGATCCCCGCCATGAAATTTCTATCATTTGTTTTCATGCCATGGTGGGGAGCATATTGCCATGGTCGGTAGCTTTGTGGTTCTCGATGTTGCTTGTGGGTCGCCAAGGTCTACAGCTGGCATTCTATGCAAGGTGCGACCCTGCGACCACTTGCCTGCCAACATGGCACACACACAGGTAATTATATTGTTGTGTTGTGTGTTGTGTGTGTTGTTGATGTTGTTGTTGTAAAGGTGGTGGTTGTAGTGGTTGTGGTTGTGGTTGTGGGTTGTGTTTGGGGTTGTGCTTTTGGTTGTGTTTGTGGTTGTGTTTGTGGTTGTGCTTTTGGTTGTGTTTGTGGTTTGTGTTTGTGGTTTGCGTTTGATGGTTCTGTTTGTGGTTCGTGTTTGTGGTTTGTTGTTTTTGTGGCGCGTGTTTGCGACTTGTGGTTTGTGTTTGTCGTTTGCGTTTGTGGGTTTGTGTTTCATGTTTGTGTTTGTGGTTTGTATTTGTGGTTTGTGTTTGTGGTTGTGTATTTGTGGTTTGTGTTTGTGGTTGTGTGTTTGCGGTTTGTTTTTGTGGGTTGTGTTTGTGTGTTTGTGCTTGTGGTTGTGTTTGTGATTTCTTTTTGCTTGTGTGTTGTGTGTGCGCTTGCTGTTGAGGTCCGAGAGTGCTCACAGCGATCTGGCGCTTGCTGTTGAGGTTTGGGGAGTGCCCACTGAGATCGCTGTTGAGGTCCGGGAGTGCCCAGTGTGATCTGGCCTTTGCTGTTGTGAGGTAAGGAGGAGAAGAAGGAGTTGCGGCAGCCTCTTCTAAAATCTGAACCATCACCTGACATGTGTGGAAAGAAGATGGAAGCAGCTAGAACTGCTCCCCGCCCCCCGCCAACCAGCAGCAGCTACTTGGAGCTGGAATTGTTCCAGCCACCTCAAGCACACTCTGGAAAGCCCACCTAAATGATCAAAAGAGCAACAAACGTACTTAAAAAACAGGATGTTCGAGGCAAGGTGCACCAAAACCAAAAGTACAAAACAATCCAACCTTGTTCACCGGTGAGTGGGAAGATAGCCTGACTTGATCATTTTTCAGCAAGAGAGGTAGCTGCCAGGTAGCTTTGTTGAAGAAACGCAGTTGTGAGGCTTTGATTCCGAGCGATCAACTGACTGGCACTGTGAGACAGGGTGGTAAGAGGTTTCTGCGCAAGTGTTAAAGTCAAAAATTCGCATTAGGTGATGTGTATCTCGCAGTGGACCGTACGTAGCCGGCAGCCGTACTTGTTTCTTTTTCCAGGGGGCAAAAAGGAAAGCAATACTGCAAGACTGCAAGTGTCAGTGGAAACTCGAAGTTTGCGGGCAAACACTCGGTTGTACATTGTGCACCCCAGAAAGTACATGAAAGTACTCCTAACAGTGTTTCAGCAACTCTTTGTTTGTGTTTTTTGACCATTTGAAACTGCCAGTAGCGATTGTTTTGCTTTTGTGGTCAATCTTTGTGTTTCCGTCATCGAGACTACTACTGCCTGGCTGTTGCGTAGGACCAACGGCCAGTGGCAAGGCAGGCGGAATCTCTTTGGCAAGAATCAGTTGTTCTGAAGAAAGGGAACCTTGGAATGCATTGATGTGGGCTGCAGGCTGCAGGTAAGACCTGGTCTATTTGTGAAAGGAACCAATTTGCAGTTTTCGATGAACTCGGTGTGAATTTGGCAGCTTTGTTTGGAGCCCTTTTGGAAAACAGCGACTGTCTCTTGAACTTAAGTTGTTCAAGTTGTTCGTGTGTATAAATAGAGTACAATATCCGGTCACATGTTTTTCCACCAGTGTTTTTCTGCCTTTGACTGAGGGGGCGCAACCTCACCATGGGTGTCCAGGCGCGGGGTTGTTAAAACTCCCAAAGGAAGCACGCATGGTTTCCGAGCTTCGATGAAGTCTCCATGAACACCTGGATGGGTATTGGGGACGTATTAGAGTGTTCGACCCCGTTCCCAAAAAGAGTAGACCAAAACCGCTTGGAAGGTCCTCCCATCCGTCTATAGGGTTTCACGTTTCACTGCCGTCCCCAATCCCCCAAGGCCTGACCCGATGCGAGCCGATGCGACGAGCGCGCTGCTGAACGTCGCTGGAACGACGCGTTGCGCGACAACGACGGCACCGTGCGCGACACGGTGCCACCCGCGACTGTGTCGGGGGTCGGGTTTGACTTCCTCGACTGAATAGATGACCAAGGACTTCTATGTTTCCTGGCATGCATTAATGCATAGCATTGTTTGTTCTAACTCTGTCAATATTAAAACATGGTTGGGTATTTGTCCTGGAGTCTTGTTTGCGCCTTGCAAACGCACCATGCTTTGGTGCCATAGCAACAAGAGTCTGGTTTCAGGAACTCTCTTCTGAAAAGTTCTGTGGGGCTAAGTGTTGATTGGACACTTTTGCAGTAGCCAGAGCGTTCATGAGTTTCAGACACTTCCCCTTTTTTCCTTTGACAATTGAGTCGTGTGGCATTTAAGGTGGGAGTCATGCGACTTGAGTTGGAGGGAATGTCACTACGAAGCTTAGCTCCAGCAGGATGGAAGAATGACCTTGGTGCCTTTTGTGGAAGAACAACGAGAGTACCATGGTGCTCTTCTGGCCGTGGACATTCTGTACTCCGCTAGCGTGTTCACTGGATCCTATTCCATGAGGTTGGGTTCTTTCATTCCGAAGACTGCACGGTCTCACCAAGTCACAGCTTGCGAGTTGAACGTTCACTAGGCCACTAGGCCTATGATCAGTGAAGCTGAGACAGATGCCTCTTTGGCGCAGACAGAGGACATTCTGGCGGAACAAACACGTCCAAGCCCTCTGACAAAGTGCAGAGCAGATGAAGTCCTGCCTCAACTTCTCTCAAGCCAAAGGCGTCCCGTCCATCAGGACATTCTCACGAAGCGATTTCTATGCGCCATGGCAACAGTTCTTGGAAAGCTGATCAAGTCGCAGTCCGAGAGCATAAATGCAGAAGGTACGCTTGCCTTTTTGCCCCTGTTTCGTCGAAGTCGTTGAGGTTCGATCCCTTGCTCGGACAGGGCTGCTTTCGAATGCTTTCCACGCTGCCAGAAGTGGGCAACTACAGCCTGTACATTCGGATTCCAGATGTGTTGGGATAGACATGACTGACTGTCAGCTGCTTGCTGTGAGGGCTGCCTTTCCGATTTGGCAGCGTTTGGGAACCGACTCAAGCTCCACAGGTCACAAGAAGCATGGTCCATTTCAAGACCAAACAAAGGCCTTGGTTTTAGGTGGCAAATGGCATTACATGCCAGCTTGGAGCCCATTCAGATTTCAACTGAATTCGGACTTACAGAAGCAAAGACTCCTTGGCTTGCAAAGAGAAGCCAAGCTTTCAATGACTGTACTTCATCGGATTCCACCTCGACGTGGACTTAACTTTTCAGCTCCTCAGCGTGCCACACACATTCGCCGCTGGATTAAGGCTTGGCATATTGCCAGTTGCCGGTGGAGCGTGCGATCCTTTCACGGTCCCGGCCGTGCTCCGACGCTTCGGAGAAAAGGCGGTGCGGCGCGTCGATCCGTCGTTTGGGTTGTAACCCCCAAAAGCAGACAGCATTTGAGATGGACCATCCAATTCTTGTCCAATCAGGCGGGGTTCAATGTTCGTCTAGTCTGGAGGTTGTCTCTTTGCACGGTCAAAGGGTGATCCTTTGTGCCCAGATATGTGAAAGCGAGGGTTGGTACTTTCTTTTTTTTCTTGGTCCCTTGGCCGGTGCTTCTTTTTGGCCAACTTCATCTGGCAATGTGCCCTGTTGTCTCTAAGCATGATCCCTGCAACTGCTGCTGTGTCACTGCTGGCAGCAATTTGGTCGTGTCCATGCTGCAAATGGTTGCTGGTTACCACGACGATGGTCTATCCCAGGCTGCTTTTCCAAGATCGATCGGAACCAAGTTAACGGCATAAGGATCAAAACTAATCACTGCCCAATCAACAAAACAGATACCCGATTATACAAGCATAGACCCCAAACAGCTTCAAAACGATTCGTTTAGACCAATTTTAGCCAAACATCAATTTCTTGGTACGCCCTACTTTCACCCCAAGAGCAAACTGCTTCATCAATAAATTTTTGTCGGCATTGACATCGCTATTTGTTCGGCCATGTTGTGCCACACTCCTCTCCAGTAAGCCGGGCCACAGAGACCAGCCACAGAGTTCAGGGGCGCGGCCAAGACAAGGACAAGAGAAAACAAGACCCGGACACAGAGCCGGGCCACAGAGCCCAGCCACAGAGTTCGGGCGCGGCCAAGACAAGGACAAGAGGAGGACAAGAAGAGGACAAGGCCCAGCCACAGAGCCCAGCCACAGAGTTGACAGAGTTCAGGGGCACGGCCAAGAGGAGGACAAGAGCCCAGTAAGCCGTCCATAGCACACCAGCGCGCGCGCTCGCCCTGCTCTCTCTCTCTCTCTCTCTCTCTCGCTCGCTCGCTCGCTCGCTCCTTCCTGCCTCTCCCTGCCCTGCCTGCCCTGTTTGGCCTGCCTGCCCTGTTTGGCCTGCCTGCCCTGTTTGGCCTGCCTGCCCTGTTTGGCTTGCCTGCCCTGCCTGCCCTGCCCTGCCTGCCCTGCCCTGCCCTGCCCTGCCTGCCCTGCCCTGCCTGCCCTGCCTGCCCTGCCTGCCCTGCCCTGCCTGCCCTGCCTGCCCTGCCATGCCTGCCCTGCCTGCCCTGCCCTGCCTGCCCTGCCTGCCCTGCCCT